CTAACGAGTTCGCAACAGCAACAACCCCAGCTCTCGATAGATGCACCCCATCACGAGCATACATTTCATTTCTTCCATAGAAGTGTTCCCAGTTGTCTATGAAAGATATTGCATTTGATTTGCAATATCTTTCCAGCCGGCAATTGACACCAAGTGCCCTCGATATCCATTCATTTCCCACTCCCTTTCTTGGAAGAATGCCACATATGATCGGGATTCCTCCCTTGCTCCTAACTAACTCTATGGCTGTTTTATACCTCTGAATCAGTTCCTCACTCCTAACTCGACCAACATCATTTCCTCCCACGCTAATGCAAATAATGGGATTGTTCCCATTACCAGCCATAATATCATTCATGTTGTTTATAATATCACCAATGCCAGCTCCGGGATAGCAAACCCTTAACCTGTTCCCCCTATCTCTAGCACAAAACGTTCTATCCAAATACCTTATCTGGGAATCTCCCACAACTAATGTTTGCTTAGGTACTTCCTTTACTTTCTGAGGGGCCTGCGCTTCCTTTCTCTTCGTTGCTTTCCCTTTTGCGCGATCCACAGTCTCTCCACAGCACTCGTCCTCCAAAACGTCAAATGAATTAGAGGTTGCTATGGCGTTTGAAGGCGGCTTTATCAAAGTCTTCTTAAGGCCCCTGTCTTTCACAACTCTCCAAGACGAGGTCCCTTTACTGCTGGTCTCCTCCTTCGTTACTTCTCGTTGTTCTTTCAGCTGACGCACCTCCTCCCGCAGAAAGTCCAACTCTGTCCTCAGGGCTCCCACTAGAGTCACCAGGTCCTTAACTACAACTTCCATATTGCAATGATATAACAGCTACGTCTCCGGTTTAGGACCAATTGCAGCTATTTCCAATTGCAGCTACGTCGTATGGACCAATTGCAGCTACGTCGTATGGACCAATTGGAGCTACGTAACCACAAATTGGAAATACGTTCGTATGAAGACCAATTGGAGCTAAGTCGTATGGACCAATTGGAGCTACGTCGTATAATACCTGCCGGTCCTTACAATTGGATGAATGTAGAACTAGAGAAGCTCTTATGTTGTAATATCATTAAGATAAAGGATTAAAATTGTATGCACTTAAGTTCTTTAGTAAATAAGAACATAAGAACAAAGGCAACTGCAGAAGGCCTGTTGGCCCATACGAGGCAGCTCCTATTTATAACCACCCAATCCCACTCATATACATGTCCAACCCATGCTTGAAACAATCGAGGGACCCCACCTCCACAATGTTACGCGGCAATTGGTTCCACAAATCAACAACCCTGTTACTGAACAAGTATTTACCCAAGTCTTTCCTAAATCTAAACTTATCCAATTTATATCCATTGTTTCGTGTTCTGTCTTGTGTTGATACTTTTAATACCCTATTAATATTCCCTTTGTTATGTCCATTCACCCACTTGTAAACCTCTATCATGTCACCCCTAACTCTTCGCCTTTCCAGTGAATGCAACTTAAGCTTTGTTAATCTTTCTTCATATGAAAGATTTCTAATTTGGGGAATTAACTTAGTCATCCTACGCTGGACACGTTCAAGTGAATTTATATCCATTCTATAATATGGCGACCAAAACTGAACTGCATAATCTAAATGGGGCCTAACTAGAGCAATATATAGCTTGAGAACCACACCAGGTGTCTTGTTACTAACCCGGCGATTAATAAATCCAAGTGTCCGATTTGCCTTATTCCGAACATTTATGCATTGATCCTTTTGTTTTAAATTCGTACTAATCATAACTCCCAGATCCCTTTCGCAATTCGACTTCGCAATCTCAACACCATCTAGCTCGTATCTTGTAACCCTATCATCATTACCTAACCTCAGAACTTTACATTTATCAGCATTAAACTGCATCTGCCAATCCTTCGACCATTTCAAAACCCTATCTAGATCAACTTGAAGTGATAGTGAGTCCTCCTCCGAATTAATTTCCCTACCGATTTTCGTATCATCGGCAAATTTGCAAATGTTGCTACTCAAACCTGAATCTAAATCATTTATATATATTATAAACAACAGAGGTCCCAGGACAGAGCCCTGAGGCACCCCACTTACAACATTTTCCCACTCTGACTTGACTCCATTTATACTAACTCTCTGTTTCCTTTGGTATAGCCATGCCCTAATCCAGCTTAATATAGCACCCCCAATACCATGAGACTCTAACTTTTTAATCAGTCTTTCATGTGGCACTGTATCAAAAGCTTTGCTAAAGTCAAGGTACACAACATCGCAATCCTTACCACTATCAACTGCCTCAACAATGCTAGAATAAAAAGATAACAAATTTGTTAAACATGAACGGCCATTTATAAAACCATGTTGCGACTCAATTATTAATTTATGTTTTTCAAGATGAAGATGAATTTTATTTGCTATTATAGATTCGAGTAACTTTCCCACAATAGACGTTAGGCTAATTGGTCGATAGTTAGACGCAAGTGATCTATCTCCTTTCTTAAAAACTGGTATCACATTAGCAACTTTCCAAAACTCTGGCACTCTGCCTGACTCTATTGATTTATTAAATATGGTTGACAGTGGGTCACAAAGCTCCTCTTTGCATTCTTTAAACACCCTGGCAAACACTTCATCCGGCCCTGGGGATTTGTTTGGTTTGAGTTTTACTATTTGTTTAAGAACATCCTCCCTGGTAACTGCTAAACTCGTCAACCTGTCCTCGTCCCCACCCACATAGACTTGTTCGGCTGAAGGCATATTGTTAAGTTCCTCTTTAGTAAATACAGATACAAAATATTTATTAAAAATACTACTCATCTCTTCATCACTATCTGTTATTTGACCTGTCTCAGTTTTTATTGGACCTATCCTTTCCCTAGTCTTAATACGATATAACTGAAAAAACCCTTTAGGATTTGTCTTTGCTTGCCCTGCTATGCGGACTTCATAGTTTCTTTTTGCTTTCCTTATCTCTTTTTTAACATTTCTAACCAGTTGTACGAATTCCTGTTCTAAAGTGACCTCCCCATTTTTAGTCCTTTTGTACCAAGCTCTCTTTTTACCTATAAGGTTCTTCAAATTCTTTGTTATCCACTTTGGGTCATTGGTATTCGATCTATTCAATTTGTATGGTATACTACGTTCCTGTGCTTTGTTTAGAATATTCTTAAATAAGTTATATATTGAATCCACATCGAAATCCCCATTTACGTCACCTATCGCTGGGTTCATGTCTCGCTCCAAGACCGGCCCCCACCCCATACCCAAGACTTTCCAATCAATTTGACCCAAAAAATTTCTAAGGCTATTAAAATCAGCTTTTCGAAAATCTGGCACTTTAACAGAATTTTCTCCTACAGGTCTATTCCATTCTATGCTAAATCTGATTTCTTTGTGATCACTGTTCCCTAGCTCACTCCCTATTTCGATGTCATTAATTTGTGTTTCCCTGTTAGTTAACACTAAATCTAAAATATTATTTTCCCGTGTTGGTTCCTTAATGTGTTGCGTAAGAAAGCAATCGTCAATTAATTCTAGAAAATCTTCTGCTTCACTATTCCCTGTTTTGTTCAACCAGTTTATTCCACTAAAATTAAAGTCACCCATGACGTAAATAGTGTTAGATCTAGATGCCCTAGATATTTCATCCCATAGATGCTTTGCTTCCATTCTGTCTAAATTTGGTGGCCTATATATAACTCCTATTATAATATTATTTGCTTTTTCGTATAATTCTATCCAAATAGTTTCTGTGTGTGGCTCAGTTTTGATTCCTTCTTTGAGACTACATTCCAAATTGTCCCTTACATATATGGCTACTCCCCCTCCTCGTCTAATATATCTATCTGTGTGAAATAGTTTAAATCCATTTATTTGATATTCAGCTAATAGTTCTCTATTTTCTACATTCATCCACGTTTCGGTAAGTGCAATAATATCTATTTTTTTCTGTGCAGACAAGAGCATTTAATTCGTTAATTTTATTTCTTAGACTTCAACTGTTAGTGTAATATACCCTAAGTGAATTGATATTTTGAGGCCCTTCTCTTTCCCTGATCATTTTGCCAATTCCTTTCTCCCACAAACACGTACTTTTATTACCTCCTTCCTCCAAATCAATTCCCTTACCTCTATCAGCTAACAGTTTAAACCCAAACAAACACCTCTAACCACTTCTTCCAACGAGTTCGCAACAGCAACAATCCCAGCTCTCGATAGATGCACCCCATCACGAGCATACATTCCATTTCTTCCATAGAAGTGTTCCCAGTTGTCTATGAAAGATATTGCATTTGATTTGCAATATCTTTCCAGCCGGCAATTGACACCAAGTGCCCTCGATATCCATTCATTTCCTACTCCCTTTCTTGGAAGAATGCCACATATGATCGGGATTCCTCCCTTGCTCCTAACTAATTCAAACTCCTAAATACAGATATAAAATATTTGTTGAAAATACTACTCATCTTCTTGTCATTATCCGTTATTTGACCTGTCTCAGATTTTAATGGACCTATCCTTTCCCTAGTCTTAGTTCGATATAACTGAAAAAAAAACCTTTAGGATTTGACTTTGCTTGCTCTGCTATGCGAACTTCATAGTTTCTTATGGCAAACAAAGGCAGGAGAAGTTAAACCAGAAGTAAACCAATCAAATAATAACTCAAATCAAATGGAACAAAAATAATAAAATAAACAATAAGTCATATCAATATATAAACAAAAATATAACATAGAACCGATATATATAATATCAAATCAATATATAATATAACAGTAAATCAAATATAATATAACAATTCTTTAAGGCATAACTGTAACATGCTTGTGTCCGAACTAGACACAAATACAACAAATTTACTAAGGATGGAGCAGAGTCCATTACAATTGGTCTCCATCTCATGTTGGACTCCGAAATCATGATAGAGCTGATAAGTGAGCCAAAGCACTTGCCTTTTAAGTAGCCGTTGGGTGTAACCTTGGATTGGCAATGGGCAATCCGAGAGCAGCTTTACGCCGAGAACTTCAACAATATCTTGTAGATCTGAGGCAAAGTTAAATCGACGCCAGTAATACTACTGATCCGTAACTGTAATAAGAAATATTAATAATATAAAATGATATAGTAAAATAACAAATATAGCGTCAAAAGTGCCACGAAGTACGAGTTGAAAAAGTAAATAGTAACGCCAAAACCCGTAATAATAGTTTATGCTCATAGTAAAATAGTACCGAATAATAACGATAATAATATGAATTATTACCGTTATTATAACCCGTAATAATAGTTTATGCTCATAGTAAAATAGTACCGAATAATAACGGTAATAATATGAATTAACATTAATACTATAATATAGTATTAATGTTGCTCCGGAGTAAATAATGAATATATATATAAAGTAACAAATAACGTAGGCCCTGGGCGGCTGCAACCCGGCGCCGCTGCGTTGTCTAGAAACACTATAGAAAGGAAGAAATCTCCCAATACTCCCTCCGAGCAGTAGTACTGGGACTGAAAAACCCGCTACAGGACGGGCCCTCCGGAGAGCAGGCGCAATGAGCGGCGGAAACAATCCAAAACTATGGTAGAATACATTAATAGATAAAAGTAAAAAAATAACAATAATGGCCACAAAAAAGACTGGAATAGAACTATAATAATAGAATCGAAAAAGACTGGAATAGAATCCTCGTCATGGCCCTCGTGGAGTTGTTCATTTGATGTTGTTGTTGTTGTTGTTGAGTTAGGGGCGACGACGATCGTGGGATCGGATGCGCCCCGGCGTACCCGTGAAGGGTGAATCGCAAAGCCAGGAAAGGCGAAATGCTAAGCCAAAACGCGAAACGAGTGACGTCAAGCACTAGAAACTAATATGCCACACGGCAAAGCTACGCACAAAGGGAGAGGCAGAAGCACATAATAGAACAGGGCAAACAAACAGCCAGAATGGCACACAGCATGTCAGAGCAAATACACAAGAAATCAGAGCACATACTTGCCCGGGAACTTGGCCCGCGGGAATCTTACATTAAACGCCTCCCAGAGCACCTATTACCAAGGGTCTCGTCCATCCCCCGGGGACGCCATAACATCCGGAACCGGGGCAACAAACACCTGCAAACTGGGGACCCAGATGGTAGAACTCATGAGGCGAGAAGTCGCCACTCGCCCCCACAGGAAGGGAACTTGCCCCCCACGAAAGCACTCCGGTCCGTCAGACAGCAGTAACGCGGCAATCTTCGACCAGTGACCCGGTGGCATCACAGACGCCGGCAACACGTCCCCCAGGGCCCCAACGCGTACCCGCACCACAGGGGTACTCGCGGCCCCGGGCACACCACCAGACGACAGCAGGGAACCCGGACGGCGCGCATCCTTCCGTAACGTCACCACCAGGCCACGCCCAGCACCAGAGTCCACACCACCCCTGACAGCGGAAGCCACCGCCCCCCACTGTGGAGAGTCCCCCGGCGGAGAAAGAACCGAAGGTACGTCCGAGACACAGGCACCAGCACCGGCAGGCACATGGACCTCCGCCACCACGAACCGCGGAGACATCGACGCATCCGTATCCACACTGTCAACATCCGAAGCCCCACAGTCACTGAAGTCACCAGCGTCGGCCCAGGAAGAAGACAAACGCCGGGAACGTTTGGGCACCGGCCGTATATCGTCAGAGCCGGTAAGTGACCCAGAAACACGGGTACCACGAGCCGAAGGAACCGACGCCAGGACGGCAGCAGCCTCTACCACAGGGGGAACCGGGCCACACACAGCAGGAGGCTCCGCAGCCACCCCAGCACCAAGCACATCCGGGACCCGAGTCACGGACACAGGGCCAGGCGCAGCATCAGAAGACGAGGGAGAAGACAGCGAAGTCACACAGGGAGCTCCAGGAAGGCCCACGGGAGCAGCTGGGACAGCGACAGGATCAGGCAGACCAACCGACGGTACCTCAAGAACCGGAGGAGGGACGGCAACAACCGGAGGAACTGCAGGCGCCGCCGGGGAAGCTGCAGCAGTGAACGGGACGCTCACCTCCACACCCCAAGAGTCCTCCTCGTACCTCCGTAAGAAAGCACGGTACACCGCCTTACCCACAAACTTGATAACAACACGGTGAGCAGTTACCAGCTCAATGCCATATACGTCCCCAACCGGGACACGAAGCATGTCACTCAACACCACATCCACCAGCGGGTAACCAGCACGGCCAGTAAACTCCAATCCGATGGAGTTTAACCGCACGACAGCGGGAATAGGGCCGCCCATCGCAAAACACGCCACGTCTCCACCACCAGGAACAGCAGGGAGGGTAAACACCCCCACACCCCCTGCCGGCGAAAACGGCAACGACCACAAACTGCCGGAGCGGACAAGCGACACGTCCTCACTTAACGGCAGCGCAGGTGGACTCCTTTCATTTGATGTATCACGTTAATGTGATTTCTGTATGTAATGATGGAAGGGCGAAGAGGGAGAACGGCCTATTGACATAGCTCGAGTGCAGGGGGGAGTTGTGTAAAACCCTGGTTGTGCCTCGGAGAGGCCGCGGGATCCAGTAAGTTCAGTAGAACTTCGGTTTCAACTCTTTTTAACCCTGTCGTAGCTCAGTCGATTAAGGCAGTGTCTGGGATGCTCCCGGACTAGGGTTCGAATCCTCGTCACGGCCCTTGTGGATTTGTTCATTTCTGGAATAGAACTGTAAAGTAAATAATAATACTAATAATGTAGAGAATAATACTAATAATGGTAGTATTATACCCGGAACCTCATCAGCTGGAACATCAACAACTAGAACATCAGCGGCTGGAGCATCAGCAGCTGGAACGTCAGCAGCTGGAATATCGGCAGCTGGAACATCAGCAGCTGGAACATCATCAGCTGGAACATCAGCAGCTGGAACATCAGCAGCCGGAACATCAGCAGCTGGAACATCAGCAGCTGGAACATCGGCAGCTGGAACATCAGCAGCTGGAACGTCGTCAGCTGGAACATCGCCAGCTGGAACATCAGCAGCTGGAACATCAGCAGCTGGAACATCGTCAGCTGGAACGTCGTCAGCTGGAACATCGGCAGCTGGAACATCAGCAGCTGGAACATCGTCAGCTGGAACATCAGCAGCTGGAACATCAGCAGCTGGAACGTCGTCAGCTGGAACATCGCCAGCTGGAACATCATCAGCTGGAACATCAGCAGCTGGAACATCAGCGGCTGGAGCATCGGCAGCTGGAACGTCGTCAGCTGGAACATCGTCAGCTGGAACATCGGCAGCTGGAACATCAGCAGCTGGAACGTCGTCAGCTGGAACATCGCCAGCTGGAACATCATCAGCTGGAACATCAGCAGCTGGAACATCATCAGCTGGAACATCAGCAGCTGGAACGTCGTCAGCTGGAGCATCGGCAGCTGGAACGTCGTCAGCTGGAACATCGCCAGCTGGAACATCAGCAGCTGGAACGTCGTCAGCTGGAACATCATAGGCTGGAACATCATCGGTTGGAACATCCGCGGCTGGAACATCAGCAGCTGTAACATCAGCGGCTGGAACAACATCAGCTGGAACATCATCGGCTGGAACATCATCGTCTGGAACATCCGCAGTTGGAACATCAGTAGGTGGAACATCTACAGCTGGAACAACGCCGGCTGTAACATCAGCAGCTGGAAGAGCATCAGTTGGAACATCATCAGCTGGAACACCGCCAGCTGAAACATCAACAGCTAGAACATCGACGGCTGGAACATCCTGCATCTGGAACATCGGGAACGGGGCCCAGCTAAGCGGCATAACTGACGGGCCCAGCTAAGGGGCATACTGAGGGGCCCAGCTGAGGGGCATAACTGAAGTAGCATTGCCAAGGGCTTGCTGACGGGCCCAACTAAGGGCATAATGGCTCAGATCAGCAGCAACTAAGGACATCAGCAGCTGTAACATCAACAGCTGGAATATCAACAGGAGGAATAACATCATCTTGAACGTCAGCAGCTAGGACATCATCAGTCCATTAGGCTTGCCGGAGCCGTCTTGTAGTCATCTTAAGGAATTCCAGAGGGAATCAGGGAGCTAACAGGAAGGGAACGCCGGTCCCAGCCCAGTGGGCTAGAACTGAAGGAGCCCCGCAGACGGGGGGGGGGCGGAGTTTCCCAGCCAAGGGGCACAGAAACTAAAGTGGCCCAGCCAAGGGGCAAGAAACTGAAGTTGTTTCAGTGAAACAAAGTGGCCTAAAGGACGTGCCGGAGTCAACTATAAACACCTTAAAGCTGGCAAAAAAAAACAAAAAAACTGAAGAGGCCCTAGTCAGGGCATATAACTGAAGAGGGGCCCCAGCCCGGGGCATAGGAGACTGAAGCGGCCCCACCAGGGGCATAAAAACCGAAGTGGCCCACCCTGGGACATAATAAACTGAAGTGGCCCACCCTGGGACAAACTGAAGTGGTTCACCCTGAGACAGGAAAACTGAACATAAGCTGAAGTGGACCACCCTGGGACAGGAAAACTAAAGAGGAAGGGCCCGTCTAAGGCAAGATGACGGGCCCGGCTAAGGGACAAGGAATTGAGGACTCGGCGAAGGAGGAGACCACCCTGGCAGGCTTAACTTAATTACGATGGCCCCGGGGGGACCCCCCCCGTTTGCCCCGGCCCCCCCCCGTTTGCCCCGGCCCCCCCCCCCCCGGGGCCTGCAAAAGAACGAGCTGAACGCAGGGGCCCTCCAGGGAACCCGTGCCACTCACATGGCGCGAACCATGGCCCGCGGGCGTAAGGAACCTGACAGGCACCAGCCGCATGGCCCTGGGAGCCGGGGGGCCCCCTCAGGCAGCCCGCCCGACAAGGGAAGCTAGGCGCCTAGAAAGGACGCGAAGGGACTGGAGGGCCCACTAGGGACATAACTGGGGTTAGAGTACCTCGTAGTGTCAGGCCACATGGGAGCGAGCACGTGCACACCATGTGGCCCACAGGCCCGGGCGGCCCCCCGGGGCCCTTAAGGACAACCCCTAGAGGCAAGAAAACCACGTTTTGTATGTGAAGCGGCTGCGGAGGGCGGCGAAGAGAGGTCGCTGAGTCCGCAGGCGCGTTTTTAAGAACCCCCGCTGGGTGCGCGCACAGCTTAGACGGTTAGACGCAACTCTTAGAAATACGTTTTCCTCTCACAGAAAACCCACCGCTTTTGGGAAAAGCAGTGGCTATATATTGCTTAGAAGCCTAGTGACAAATCACCAGAGCAAAACCGACTGGTATCAGGTAACCCCTGGTGACAAATTGAGATCATCTGTGAGAAAACTAAAGTGACTTAAGGAGTGCCGCTGCCCAAGTAATCTGTGAGTGACTTTTACCACAGTGTACCTGTATGGTACCATATAATCAGCCGCCGCCAGCCGCCAGCCGCCACTCAGACCGGAGCGTGAAGCCAGCCGCCACCACCACTCGCTCTGCGTCTCGGTACTACGTGACGTCACCATCCATCACCACCCTTACTCACTGCCAGTGCCATCGAGTGTGTGTGTGTGTGTCTGTCTGTTAAGCATACAGCACGCCCTCCTCTGCGAGTACCCTCTGTGTCAAGTACGGTTGTGGAAAAGCCTGCCGTCAATGGTTTCACGTCATAGCGAGCGAAACCAGCTGCCAGACCACCAACGAGTCCTTGCATAAATATGCACGAATGAGTGAGTGAATGGGAGAGGTAGCTGACCTGTAAGTACAAGATCTTGTTTCTTTATTATTGTGTCTGTGGGGTGATCTGAGGGATCAATTACCTTCTTATACCTGACACAGGTATAGGGTGGAGACTAAGACACCCGACGGTGTATGCGTGTTTATCTGTGTGGTACAGCGACATTACACTCGTCTGTGAATGTGAGCTTCACATACACCACACATTTAGTTATTGTGTGACATTATTATTATTGTACATGTTTATTGCCTGTCCCATTGACAGTGCCATTGTGATTTATTGCGCATCATCATTACCCGAGTATCTGGTTGGAACTCTTGTGATCCCTTTGCACACCGGCAGTTAGGTTTGCCGTGTTAATGATTGGCTGTCAATTGTGTTAAGTTAGGCATTTCTCCACGACTGGATCAGAATCGATTAGCTAGACGTCAAGAGTCTCGCTTATGCAACCACAGCCTTTCTGACGCCAAACTAAAGTAAATCAAGCACCCTTTGTATCAGTGGTTAAGTTAGTAAATAAACTACTGTTAAACTTTATACGGTGTTTCCGTTGAACCACTTCTGAACACTGCCAACTATTTACTCAAGCCTTCAGCTCCAGGTGTCTCCAACACCGAGTTGCCTATTATTCACTAAACTATAAATGTGATGAGGACCCTAGGAGTCCCTTAAAGTGTTAAAGCATTGAGGAGATTCCAACGACCAACGTGCATCAGGGAAAGGTGAAGCTAGTCTGAGAAGAGACCTTCAAGGACTCTAACTCGACCTTGCTCCCAGGCCCTGTACGGTTGCTCTCATATTTTCTCTGCTGATTCCGACAGCTTCGTGAAGCGTCTGCCACATGTACATTGGTGACGTACGCATTGCAGTCAGGAAAGCAAAAAAGAAAACACCACAACTGTAGTTACAATGCATTATATGACACTGCTGGGAAGACATGATGTTATAGAATGGTGGGCTTGCTATGGGGGATCTAATATTACAGGGAAGTAGGGGCAGTAGTTAGCATTAAAGGTTATCAAATATGGGAGATCTCAAAGGCCCGGCCCCCACTATATAGAAATATATAGAAATATATAGAAATAAAATTGTAGTGGCTTGTTACAGCAATAGTCAGCCTAGAGGTTGATCATGGATCTCCTACACAGGAAAAATGGATACTCCTTTACTAACTTATTTAGCTTAACAACCCCCCCATATACATTCACACCAATAACAATAATAATAATACTTTACCACACTATCTTACGTTAAAAGCCCTGGTCCACATAAGCAGGATACAAGGTCTACACTCAGAACAAGCTAGGATAAAGTACTACTAGTGAAGAACTTGAAGCTTGAGTCAGCTTAGGGTAGGGAGACCACGTGGTTCCACTTGGACCCCTTTTAGAATAACTAATAATACAAACACTAGGAACACCTAATTCATACAAAGTATAATACTCTACACATTAGAACACGCCTATGCCAGACAATGAGAACGTTACACAGTATACTTAGCTGGGGTATCAGCCCACAGAAATAAAGAAACGAGAGGAATAAGAGGAGCGTCCTTTCAATACAGCCAGCCAGCAGCGAAGAAGGCTTCTCGCATCTCCTTCCCAGCTCACTCGCTGCCAGTAGACTGCTCAACTAATCGTACAGCAATCCTATCCCAAGTTTACTCAGATTTACTTTACACTTGATTAGAAAGTATTAGTAAACATAGTTGTTGCCTATTTTATTATTTAATAATCAACCCCAAGCTCAGTCTTTAAATGCTCTGTGAGAAACAAGAATAGTCTTATGTCTGGCAGGGAAGATACAAACAACTGCATCTCGTGATGCGTTTCTCCCACTATAAGGCAGTCTATTTAGCTCAATATTGACCTCTGGTTTCCACTGAGGAACCCAGGGTCGTAACACATGACACCACAAGCACAGCTCTCATCCTGTAAACTACACTTAACTACTCAATAATTTAGCATGAAATAGTCCAGGCATTTGAATGATTACATTTATTTAAATGAACAAACAATGCACCTGACTTGACCTGTCTCTATGCTATATTTGTGTTCTTTTATAATGTTGGTCTTCGTGTTTGACAGTTTATCCCACAAACTTTATTACAAATTTTGCATGGAATTTTATACACAATAATTACAACTACTGGAGAAATTTTAATCAGAGTTTTTTATATCAAGATTCTTAAATATTACAGTGACATTAAATTGTTTTACTAATTTAGAAATTTCATTGAAGTTATCATGAAATGGCAGATTCATTGTAATCTTTATACAGTATTAAACTGTATTCTTTCTTTTCCAAAGTAAAGTAATTATCAAAAGAAGGCACCAAGCCAGGAAGATGTAGCATCATCTGTGTCGTGGGATATTCAAAAGACGCTATATATCATTCAAGATAGCAATATGAGAACAAAAGGATACAAGTCTAGCGATATCAAAGCTATCAGATTCACCAAGGGTTCTATCCAGGGACAAATGACCGAAGGACATTGAGAAAGCAAGACAGGTGAGCATCCTGGAAATGAGGACATTCTGCAAGGAGGTGCAAGACAATAAATGATAAAATGCAGTTTGGGCAATAAGGAAGAGGGCAGTGCTTCATTAGGTGACCACGAGTTAAGCATGTGTGTCTGATATACAATATACCTAGAGTTGTTTCCCACCATCTATTACAGTGGTAGGAGGAAGGCAGTGTGTTGCCTGTAATGCCACATCAATGACCCTACCAACAGTTGCAGATTATGGAACGAATGACTGGGTAGAAATCTGAATAAAGTCCTTTTTGAGAAATAGGACAAGTGCGAAGGGCCTCTTTAGCAACAGTGTCTGTATGTTCACTTAAAGTAACACCAAAATGGCTGGGAATGCAGCAAAATTAATCTGTCTTAAATATGCTAGAGATAATATACAGCCAACATTTAATTTCAACACCACAGGATGCAAAGGGTTAAAAAGTCTTTAGGGCCATGAGGGCATTGCAAGAGTCAACAACAATTACAAAGGAACAAGGATGGAAAAGGTAGTTAGGGGAAAGAACTAATGCCTTCGTACCTGCTAGGAAGGAAGATGGAGAGGAACCAGGTTTA